CTGCTGAAAACATTTGATATGTTACAATTTCTTCTCTTCCATCTTATAATGCTGATGCAAACCATCAAATGAGAAAAGTTCCATTGCATTCCATTAGAGGCACCATGCAACCATATCTACGGACTGACAAAAATTAAGCATCCTTGACATGAATTTCCCTACAGCAGGTGGGAATTCTAGGTCTTGTAAACACAATTAAAATATCTACTTTTGTAGAGCAAACCAAAATATTTCATTTCAGTGAGTTCAGTAGACACAAGCTGGGAGAAGAGGGAACAGGATAGTTTCTGTATGTGAAATAAATGATAACATAGGAAAAATGAATGAAGCAATATGTAATAGAAAAATCTGTTTTAAAAAAAAAAAATCCTTGCACACATGGTTTGTGCTACGAGATCCTATTTATTGCCTTTCAATGATTTTGGTTTGAGAAGCTGGAGTGAATGCTCTAGCATGCTTTAAACTGTAGGTCCACAGTGGATAACTTCAGCAAGTACAGAATGATTTCAGTGGCAATGTTTTCATCTATCTGTTTCATCTATCTGGACATGCTGAATTTCCTACTGTTCCAGGAACTCATGGTTAAAATGAAAGAAATACCCAAAACATACTGGGTCATTTATGATATTCTCAAATCAATGGACGTAGAATCACTGAATTTGCCTTTATTTTTACCAGCTTGATCTTGTTCAGACAGGTTGCCATTAGGTACATTAGGAGATTATGTTATATTTATGATTAAAAAGGCTGTATTTTCAGTACGCTTCTTGAATTTCTCTCCCTAACAAGGACGGGCATTGAAATTAAATAAAAATAATTATTTTTTAAAGCCTTCACAGTGTAAGTATACAGAAAAGCTTTCATCTATGGATATGACAGACCAGATCATTATAGGTGTCGCTTATTATTAAATGGCAAGCATTTGCAGAGGGCCCAAACACTGTGCTCAGTAAGGCAAGTGCCAACCAAACCAATTTGGTCATGAGCAAGAATAGACAATATGCAATTACAGAGAAAAACTTTGGCATCTCACACAGCTGTTGAACCTACAGTCAAGAAAGTACTGATTGTTTCACTATCTTGAGTTCATTACCTCTTACTTTTCAGCAAGACAATGAAACAGATACTGATAAACTGAAAACAAGCACTAACATGTAAAATTTCGTTTCCCAAAAGGAAGGGATGTACTATGTAGCAAGGATATGCTATCTTTCAAATAGTAGAGAGTCAATAAATATTTGCTAAACAGATAAAAATATGTTGTTTCTCTCTTAGCATCTTCTTTTAACCAGAATATCAAAAATAAAATTCACCATTCGATCCAGCAATCCCACTCCTAGGAGTATATCCTAGAGAAATAAGAGTCGTCACTCGAATAGACATATGCACACCTATGTTCATGGCAGCATTGTTCACAATAGCAAAACGATGGAAACAA